ACGTATAAACATCGGTGACATTCACACATTACAGACATTGTTTCATGGTTGGTAAAAGCATTTTAAATTTTATTTAAGTGTTTAGAAAAATATGCAAACAAATGGATTATTGTTGTAATTTGTTGGCTAGTTTACAGCAACAGGTACACAACTTACAGGGAGAGGAATGCCAATTGCACTATTGTAGTGACATAACTTCAACAATATGGATAGTTTTGGTTTTTTGAATAATTTCTTAGAATTCTGCTCATGAGGAAAAATTTTAGTTACAATTATATGTTAATTTGACATTGTTCAAGTAGAGATTTCAAACTCAAAATGTAATGTAATATACATTAGAGAAATTCTAATCTCTATTTGAGTAATAAAAACATCTTCAAATTAAAGTAAGAGCTTAAATAGATAAATGGGTTAACAGTGAGTTTACTTATCGGATACTTAAATCCAAAGCATAAAAAGGAACAGACACATAAAAACAATAATATATTTCCTTACTTTTTTGATCAACTAACCACTGAAGAACCTTCTTCTCGTTTTTAAGATTTCCTATAAAAATAATTTGACATTTTAATCAAATAATTACAATTCATAAATGTCTTAACAGTTCAATATATATAACAAATAACATAACTCGTTTACTTAACTAGAACTTACTAAATACGATTAGCATGTAAAATATGACAACCAGGTTTGAAGACTGTATAGCTTTTCAATGTTAGGAGTATAGAAATATGATATGGAAATGTTTGGCTGAAAAGGTTTTCTATTTAAATAAAGTGTTAAGATTATAGCCAAACCTATACATTTATTTAAGAGTAAGGAAATCATTTCATCATAATTAGCGGCAGTTGTGAATTATTAGAAAACGTTTGTATTATTTGTTTTAGGCATGTAATTCTTTTATGCTCGACATTGCTATTTATTTATTTATTTGAAAACAATGATTAACAACAGTTTTATTATTTCGTGCAGAGTAGCCCATCACACACTCTTTAATATTTGAGGTCAGCAAAGAGCATATTTGTGTTTTGAAGGAATATTTCTATAAAGGATACTGAAAAAAATATTAAACCTTGACCTTTCAAAATGGCTGTTGACAATAAAAATTACATTTAACGTTGTGGCACTTTTGGTTTTATATTATTTGGTTGGTGGTTTATTTAAGCTAAAATACTAATTACCCATGTAGCACAGATGGTTGGGCCAACGTTGGCCAACTGTGGGACAGTTGGTCGATGGTTGGTTGGAGCTTCCACAACCAACCAACCGTTGTCCAACTGTATATCTCGTAGTTGGGCCAACCAATATTTACAACTGTGGACCAACATTGGTTCATTGTTAATGAAATACATTAATATGAATTGCTGGGTATCATACATCAAGCCAACCGTTGTCCAACCGTTTTTCACTCCGTTGGACCAACAAAAGATACTTTTGTTGGACCAACGATGGTCCATAGTTGAGTTTACACGACTTTCATTCTCTGGGTCTAGCTTTCACAACATAATTATAATAAAATATCTGGTTTTACAATACCTTTATCAGTTCCAAAAGTTTCCAAAAGTTTTTGGAACTGATAAAGGTATTGTAAAACCAGATATTTTATATATTACAGTTCCGGGGCTACAACAATGAATTTTAATAATTATAATAATGCCAATATTTTTTAAATTAATATTCTTTAACTTATTTGCAACAATTTAAGGGGAAAGAGTAATTAATCATATAACAGTCAATTATAATAGCATTAATAATCTAACGGTAATTAATTAATCTATATTCAGATACCAGTATCCTCTTTAACTCCAAAAAAAAAATAACTACTTATAATCATATTATACTGTGTAGTATCAAAAATGTTTGAAGTATTGCGACTATTGCAACTGTCGGCTACTCTTTCACCACTTGAAAACTCTCTATATCAACAATCACAGATAGCTCAGTGGTAAGGTAAGAGGCTCATAAGTCGAAGGACCCGGGTTCGAGACCCGTCTGGGCCAAAAAAATTTTGTTCTAGCTTTTTTTCAAAATTTGTTTTTATCAACTATTTTAATCAATTTACTCAACTAATAATTATGCTTTTCGTACTAAATCTTTATTATTTTGTGTGAAATAAAACGGTTGGTTGGATATTAGTTGTGTTATGGTTAGTTGGCCATCAGTATTTTTGGATGGTTGGGCCATTGTTGGACAATGGTTGGCTGGAAAACAGTTTAAAGAGGTGACATTTCTACCGTTGGCCAACTGTGTGGCTCCACAATTTACCAACGTTGGCCCAACCATCTGTGCTACATGGGTACTTATTGCTATTTCAGTCTATACCTAATAAATAGAAACCAAATTCATCTACCTCAAGATAAATATATTTTTAGGGTGTGTTTTGACAAAAGAAAATGTCTTTTAAGAATTAAATAAAAAATATAGATAAGTAATGGTAGAAGAGATAGGGTTTAGGGTGGAACTAATTCCAACAAAAACGGAGTTCGGTTTTTTTAGTTCCTTGGTGGTGTCTGTTTGACATACTAAAAGTCATATTGGAAAAACTTGAAAATTTTGAAAAATCCAAAAAAGCCATCCTTTATAACAAATTAAAGGGGTTTTTTGTTGCAAAAGAATGTGAAATTTGTTTTAAAATTGAGTTTTCTTAATTCCTTGCTACAAAAACCTTTGTACAATATCATGCGAAATGTATTTTTTTTCCCTAACTTATCTATCTATATTAATATGTACGCACATACACTAGTATATAGTTATGCGATTTTGTTTCCCAGGTAGTATTGATAACGGCACCTCCAAACTGATCCAGAACTATATGACCATGTTACAGATGACCAAACAATTTTAATTAGTTTTCAAACCTAAGGGCTGCACCCCATTGAGATCAAAAGTTGCTACGCTATTCTTATGGAGGAACAGATTTTCCCAAGTGGCTCAAAAACGGCATTTCAATTATGCTCCCAGACCTACCATAATTTTAGGGGACTAAGGGTCTTCGGAAAACTTCTTCGTGGCCTCAGGGGCTCCGCCCCACTGGCACCTTTTATCACTTACCGACGTCTAACTTGTACGTGTGATTGTGCTTTGACTTTATTTGATAAAGCCGCATGTCTAGATCTTGAATGATGTCCTAACGTTGGACACGTCTCCCTTGCCAACCTTAGGGCTCCGCCCACCAGGCAAAATTCTAGCCAATAGTCATTGATCCATAATACTTGGGTGACATTAGGGCCCACCCCAGTGCTATGTGACTAATGTATCACACATTATCAGTGAACATGTCCTGTGCAAGAAAATCACAAAATCTGGAGGGTTTCCAAACATTACTTCAATTTTCTGAGGTTCACAATCCACAATTCACAATTCACAATTCACCTGATTCACAATGTGTTGAGCTACATATTGTTTTCAGTGGGCTAGCAAAAAAAAAAACACGTATTTTTTTGGATACTAGGTTACTGCTGGTGAGGCTAAATCAATTGAACTGCGATCCATTCAAAAATCTTTGTAAAATCTTTTCTTTCATAAGAATAACATAGCAGCTTTTTATGCCAATGGGGTGTAGCCCTAAGGTTTGAACAAAAAATTAAAATTGTTTGGTCATCTGTAACGTGGTATAGTACTGGATCAGTTTAGAGGTGCTGTTATCAATTATGGGAAACACACACGCACAACTAGTTAGTATATACGGCTACATATGTATCTAGATAAGATAGAAAAGATTTAAAAAACAATTTGTTTAAGAAAACTCGATTTTAAAACAAATTTCACACTGTTTTGCAGCAAAAATCACTTTTAACTTGATGTCAATGATGGCTTTTTTTAAATTGTCAAGTTTTTTCCAATATAGCGTCCAACAAACACATTTTGCATGGTCAGATTTTTCTAGACTTTTAGTATGTCAAACAGGCACCATCAAGGAACTAAAATAATCAAACTCCGTTTTTGTGGGAATTAGTTCCACGTAGGGCCCTTTTTTTCCTTTGATCTCCTCTACAATAAATTAAATTTCAAATTTATTTTCTTTTGAAAATCCTCCTTTGATTGAAATATTATTTTAAATAATAGTTCGATTGTATTTAAACAAATTACACATATTCTAAACCCACAGAATCTAGGTACCCTTAAACTACCAAAAACAAGCCATAACTAAAAAGACACTTGATTCAAAAGCCGAAGTCAGATCAAACTGAATTATTATGAGATGAAAAAAAGATTTTAAAAAATGTTAATTTCTATCGGAGAAGTGTGCAAGTTTGTGCTTTATCCTTTTTTGAGATTTTTTTACTTGACATTAGTTGTATGATGGAAAGAACATCAGATTTGGTTTTTGACAAGTAACTGTCAAAGAAGAGTTTGGTATTGTATGGCAAGATTAACAAAAAATTATGTAAATTTATGTTTACAATTGAATTAAAATTGTTTTGATTTGTACTTAGTTGAAAAACAGACATGTCATACGCTGGTAACGTTTTTCTAAAATTTTCCCCTGAAATCATAAAAAAGGAAATGGTCTTATCAAATAAGTCAAGAAAATTCTAAAAGGGCATGCAATAAAATTTAGCATTATATTCTTTTGATGAGTTTTCCACCTCACAGAAATACAAATAGTATTTTTATTTGATGTATTTTGACACTATTTACTGCACTACCAATGTATGTGAAGTATGATGAAAAAGATGTTTGAATATGAATATGTCTATTACAGTGACACCTAGATTGAGGTTATTTTTCTAAACCATTTTCTATATTATCCACCGAGAGCATTAAGTCCAGAGGTCCATGAAAGTTTGGAATGAATGACTACTCGCATATCATAAGCTTATACTAACAATAGTGTTTAATAGAGGTTTAAAAAAAATATTAAACTTATTAAAAATAAAAAATGACATCCTCAATGCCTAAAAATCACTTCTTGTACACCCCATCAATTTGCACACCCTTTAATTCCCAAACAAAATGCCTTGTAACTAAAAGCAGCAAACTAGTAAAGACTGACTGACCGTCATACATGATGGGGACTCCTGTCTCGTAGTATACTAGCGCAGGGAAGCTGAAGATGCCCAATTCTGACGCCAACTTGGAGTCTTTGCTCTTGACAAACTGAATGCCGTGTTCGTCCGTATCATCGTCTATTGTCTCCAACTCCTCGAGAATCTGTTCACAAGACTCGCAATCATCGTCATCTGCAACAAAAATTCACCCCCACTGTTCCGTTTAGTGACGTACTACACAAATCTAGCCAAAGCTGGAAAATCATAAAGTAACCACAGAGAGTACTCTAGTAAGATCCTTCCTAGAATTACAGTAGATCAAACAGAAATAAAAGAGGCAGGTGGTCATTATAGGTAACCAAAATTTCAATTAAATATTCCAGCCGCAGAAAAACTTCAGACTAAGCAAATTTCTATTTACCTGGTTGAATTTTCACTAAAATATCTTCTTAAAATAATAATATTTATTTTGTATTTAAGTAGCATTAATTTCAATGAGTACTTAGGTTTGCTGCTGAAGAAAATTAGGTGTGCAACATTGCTTTAACATACTAAATTATTTTTACTTTTTAGCTCTAGAAAATAGTTTGTGAAGAAATTGATTTTTTTTTTGTTTAGAGTGTAAAAAATTGGAAATACTTATTTTTAAACTATAAAATTCCCAATAAAACCTCTTTCTCATTGTCAGATCATGCTGGTTTGCGAACTCATTTGAACAAATGTATGTTTAAAAGTTAAACAAACATTTGTGACAAATTTAATCAAATAACTTCTTGATCAGCATTGTAAGTGTTATTAAATTTACAGAAAGTAAATAAAAGAAACGTCTTATAACACCTAAAACATATATTTACGCTTATACTGTTACTCACAAGACGGTAAATATACATAAAAGATGGTAAGTGGTTACACCTCTTTAGCAGACAGACTGTAGGCAGCAGCATTCACAGTCTTAACTCTAAATCACCCCTCTTTGTCAGTCACTTGACTTACCTTCCTTTGTCTAAAATGCATTTCTTTGTGTTATTAGCTTATGCCGTTTCAGTTAATTATTATTATGGTTGAAAATTTTTTTTAGAGATATCCTACTGAGTATTTACATTTTATTTTTGTTTGGAACACACTGCGTTTAATTTGATTTGATAATGTGTAACATTAAGGTTTCAGAAGCTACTTACAAAAGAATACCGCCAAGTGTTCAACATCATTTATCAACATTTGAAGAGTCTTGCGATCCACACTCTCAATGACGTCTGGACTTGACTCAGACAGCTCCAGAACCCACTCCAAGATGGCCTCCTCTTGCATCAAATCACCTCAAATAGACAAACATTTCGTTTACTAATCACATCTTACAGAAATCAATGTAACAGACTACAATTGAAAAGTGATGGGTCGGTTGCTGATTTTATTGGTTTGGTTTCATTTCATTTTTTTGAAAACCGGTTTTCGGTTGATGGTTTTTGGTTTTCCCCCTTCAATCGCTTATTTAAATACAAATTTTCTCTTAACTCATCGAAAGGTAGAACACTTGTTTAAAAGTTTAAACTAAAAACTATAACTTAATTCATGCGATGCAAGATTAAATTTTCAAGCAAGATTAGATAAGACAACGTACCATAAGCACAATTCAAAATTGTCTTATTTTTAAATTTAAGGTTACAATTTAAGGATGTTTCACCTAATTATATTAGGTTGAAATATTATTGAAAACTGTAATATGATAGATATTGGAAATACCAGTATTGTCTACAAATTCATATTTAAGAATACCAACATCTTCACTCATTCAGGATCTAATCTGTTTGCATTTAATACTGGGACAACAATTATTTTTTTAAGAAATGCAACAAAAGATAAGTTAACAGGAGTAATTGAAAGAAGTAAATATAGTATATTTCGTACCTAAACCAAAAATTAGGTTTTGCCGGCTCGATATAGTTTTTAAATTTGAGGCGAAGTCGAGAACTTTAAACGATCGAGAGCTGCAAAACCATTTTGGTCCGTTGTACAAACGCTATTTTTCACCACACTATTCCCTATTACCACTATTCGTCACAATAATAATGCACACTGATAGTCACACAACTACAACTTTAAGGTTTTGTGTAGAAATAATGTGAGGAATCAGCAAAATTAATAATAAATAGTTGCTAGGCAGCGATGACAATAAAACAATTCTATGGATACTGATTGTGTATTTAGTATGCATTTTTTAAAGAAAGTAAGCGGGCAGCTGATTTTGCGGCCCTAGGGATGTAAAAACCTGCTCGGTCCCCAAATGACGATGACAGCTGGCATGGCCAACAAAACGTAACTTTCAGCCACCAATTAACGTATGTAAAAAAGCTAAATACATCATAGTGTGGTGAAAAATAATTTACAACCAAAAAAGTCATAGTCATATAGTAATAGGGAAGTGTATGGTAAGTAAATAATTTATTAGTAGAGTAAACTATTGGAATCAACAAGTCTAATTACTGAACAATACAGGGTGTTTAAAAAGAATCATCCAATTTCGTAGGTTTATAGTTTGAAAATTAATAATCATATGGACCTGAGGTTAATTTTACATTAAAGAGTAACTAATCAAGTTTTTTTACATACCATTTACAGGTGCTCAATATGGCCTCCTTTAGATGCACAGCATATGTGCAACTTGCAATAAACATTTACTTACGTACAAAAAAGTTGTGAAAACGATTGAAAATTTGAAAATAAATGCCAATTTTTGAAAGTAGAGCGTTTTTTTTTTTTTTTTTTTTTTTTTGTGAAGGGGTGCGATTATTGGAAAACCCCTAAGGATATCTTGTAGAAAATTTAATTTCTGACCATGAAAATTCTTTCAAATCTTTGCTTGCTCTTACCGCTCTCTAGTTATAGCGGTTTAAAAAAACCTGTTTTCTCGTCTTCAGATGTCTGCCATTTTGGATTTTTGAAGGGGGTTAAAATTTGAAAAAGGGACTTTTGGATGTTTTCTGGATAATTTAAGGTGAGTTATGAATGCCGTAAACTAACATCTGATAAACCTTTTATGTCCTCCCAATCATCTACCACTGGCAAAACCAAAACCGACTTTTTATGTCAATTCTCGGTTTCGGATTTTTTTCCTAAAAACGGGTAAAACCTACAACCGACCCATCCCTAATTTAAACCGTTTTAGTTTTATTTTAATGACTTTCAGAATAAGTTTCTAAATCATTCTTCTATTATTTAATAACATGATTTTTAAGGTACCTACAAAGGAACAACTAATTTGGAAAGTTAAAGCTGTATTAATCAACAGCTAAAAAACATAAGTTTAACATGGTATCTGAATATTGGATACTGAAGTAGACGGCACCATCTATATGGACCAGCTGTAGAATTTTTTTTTTTTAAAGAACATAGTTGTGTGAGCTAGTCACAGAATGTGCTAGTGACTAAAACTCTATTTTCTACCTTATTTTTTGTAGCTGGCCAAGTTAATGGGTCATAACAGTTGTTATAGCTCACAAGAAATCATTTCATTAGTTTGAATTGGTAAAAAAATATTGTGTATTTGTCAGAAATCAATCATTTAGATCAGCACAATCTGTCGGTTGGTTCACATAAACTACAATTTTGGTTAACAGGCTACAAATTTAACACGGGGATGGGTGGTATTCTCTGATAATACCCTGCTCCAAATTAAGCTTTGTGATTTACCTGGGTAGATCTTCCTAAACTTGTTTCTGTAGAAGGCCAGAGTTGGTAGTGATGGAAGATCGTACTCTTTGTCGACTCCTTCGTCCGAAGTCTTCACAAAGTCAATCTCTTTCTCCTCACACTCATCATCAATGTTTTCAAGTTCCTGGATGATCTTTTGACTCTTTTTGTCAGCTTCTTTATCTAAAACCAACATTATATTGATTGTATTTATTAAATTTAGTGTGAATATTGCACATTCTGTAGTTTCTGGTCAAATAGCTGTGCAGCTGATTGGTTATAGTAGGTACTGAACTAGTAATCAGAAGATGCTGATTAGATCATCATAAAATTCAATAGTTATTTGTTTAAAATTGAACCCACCTGCTCTTAAACATTGAATCAATGGTTTTGATAAATCCAATACAATAGCTCCAGGATTACCAGGTGACAAAACCTTCAATGAACTCACAGAATCCTTTAACAACTGTCTTGAGCCTTCCCCTAGCATGATCAGCTAGCTAATCAACATAAATTTGTTTGCAAGGTTCAAGATCCTGGAGATTTTCAAGTGTGGTTCAAGGCCAATGGTCTTAAATTAAATAGTAGCAAAACTAATGTAATCAATTTTAGCACTAGACGTAGACACAAACAAAATCTTAATCAAATAATACTAAACTAGAGGACCCATGCTGCTCCGTGGTGTTAGTAAAATAAAATAAAATAAATATAATATCAGAGAAACAATCACAATGATTATTTTTGATTGAGTAATATAGTATCTTGGGCTTAACTGATTCAAACAATAAATAGCTAAATTTAAAGCCTATAATTTACTAACTATTTTGAGTCTAAAACATATAAAAAAACATGAACAATACTGGAGCTATTGATTTTTAATCACAGAAAAACCTTATGAAAAATAATTTTTATGTTGGTTGTTCACCTTGCGTTTGCTTGGACCTCATCCGATTTGAATAACTAATTGCTTAAAAGCTTTCACTTAAGGTTCATAGACCAATACATGGGTTAACCAATACACCCAATTTACCAAGTAAGTTTAGGTCTCCCGGTACTTAATATTAAAATAACTAACAAATGGACTATAAAATAAGCATTTGGGGATATAGTATTCATACTAATAAAGATTTCTGGACTAAAATTGTACGACGTTAATCAATTTCTCAGATGAGCAAACAGTTTGCCACAACCAAACAGAAACATAATTAGAAAACTCAGATTCTCAATATAGTCCAGTCAAACTAAGACAAATTACCCTTAAACCTGGGCAAAATTGCTTCACAAGCGATTTAAGTGGTATTCAACTCAGAAAATGTTGCTTTATAACATATCCAAAATCCGACAAAATCCATCCATGGGAAAGTGACTAAAATCAGAATTTAAAATGGCGGCTTTTTCCAACATTGGACAATCTAAAAAAACATATTTCACATGCATTTGTTATGCACATTTTTCGAGATATTGACTTGGGACCACCGCCTGTATTTATTGGGTGGTTAGTACTTCATTTTTATAAGGAACATGTTTTTGGCCGCCATCTTGGACCCGCCATATTGGACATAGATAATTTTTTTTCAATGTAATGATAGTGTTGTGACACATCATTACCAACTACATTTTTACACTGATTTCAATGCCGAAATCCGTTTTTAAATATCTTTATTCATTTAGAAGATCTATTCAAACGAAAACTCTCCACCATACATTTCTTATGGACGTTTCGTATTTTGATAATTTTTGTAAAACTATTTTTCTTATATCTCCAGTTCTTATTGATGCTTGTAGTTCGTTCTAGGCTTAAAATATTCAGTAATGTAAGGGCTTTCATTTGAGCTCTTGATCATTAAAATCAGACGAGTTGAAGACCAGCGACGAACCTCAGAACAATATTAAATTTAACTTTTTAGAAATATATTTTTATTAAAAGATTTATAACTCGGGTTGTTAATACGTCACAAAGTTATTTATGGTCTCAAATTACTCAGTAAATGTATGGCTTTAATTTTATTGATCATTAAACAAAATCTGACAATTTTAAAATGAGTCATGGACCATAATTTAACATTAAAATGTATTTATATTGAAATTTGTCTTTAGTTAAAGACGTATATCCCCAATTCTAAATAACTCCCAAAATTCTTTACAGTCTTAAATAATTCACCAAATTATTGACTTTTATTTTAGCTATGGATTACTTTCCGGGAGTTATTAGGGTTTGGGATATATGTCCTTAACTAAAGACAAATTTCAAAATAAATACATTTTAATGTTAAATTAAAAATTATGACTCATTTTAAAATTCTTAGATTTTGTTTAGTGATTAATAAAATTAAAGCTAAACATTCACTGAGTAATTTGAGACCAGAAAGAACTTGGTGACGTATTAAAAACCCGAGTTATAAATCTTTTAATAAAAATATATTTCTAAAAAGTTAAATTTAATATTGTTCTGAGGTTCGTAGCTGGTCTTTAACTGGTCTGATTTTGATGATCAAGAGCTCAAATGAAAGCCCTTTTATTACTAAATATTTTAAGCCTAGAACGAACTACAAGCGTCAATAAGAACTGGAGATATAGGAAAAATAGTCTTTAAAAAATTATCAAAATACGAAACGTCCATAAGAAATGTATGGTGGAGATTTTTCGTTTGAATATATCTTCTAAATGAATAAAGATATTTAAAAACGGATTTCGGCATTGAAATCAGTGTAAAAATGTAGTTGGTAATGATGTGTCACAACACTATCATTACATTGAAGAAAAATTATCTATGTCCAATATGGCGGATCCAAGATGGCGGCCAAAAACATGTTCCCTATCAAAATGAAGTACTAACCACCCAATAAATACAGGCGGTGGTCCCAAGTCAATATCTCGAAAAATGTGCATAACAAATGCATGTGAAATATGTTTTTTTAATTTGTCCAATGTTGGGAAAAGCCGCCATTTTAAATTCTGATTTTAGTCACTTTCCCATGGTCGGATTTTGTCGGATTTTGGATATGTTGTAAAGTGACATTTGTTGAGTCGAATACCACTTCAATCGCTTATGAAGCAATTTTACCCAAGTCAAATCATAATTTTACTAGTCATTGCATGAAAAGTGCTTTTATAAATTTTCTGGCGAAGTAGGACAAAAGGGTATAAAAATTTTCTGTATGACAATCTGAATTTGTTGGCAAAAATATCTCATCGCTACTCTATGTTGTATTATCTTACTAATATTATAAATATGAAAGTTTGTGTGTTTGTTTGAAGTTCAATCACGCATTAACTACTGGTCGGATCGGGTTGAAATTTGGCATGATGGTAGCTTACATTCCCGATTAACATATAGACCTATTCTTATCTCAAAAATCCTTTCGGGCTCCGCCCCAGTGGCTATAGAGTTTTCATGTTAACCTTATGAGTATTCAAATTTAAAAGGAATTAAATAATTTTGTCAGCTATTCTAACTAAACAATTTGGTTCTATGATATTCAATAGCATTAAAACGTTATAAGGTTTACCAACAGGGTGCAACACTATTAATTGTTTTGCATTTATGACAACAGCTTATGAACTAAGTAACAAAAAGCTGTGATACACAATGGGAACTGTCAAAGTAGGATATTTTACAGTTATATTTATGTTTTAACTTAATAAATAATTTGTGATATTATGGGAATGTTTGATAGCATGCCGTTAATTTAAAGAACCAAATTTTCTCAAACCGTGTCTTCCCCCACTGCAAAAAGAATTTTATAATTATACGCCAACCCCGTATGAAGGACGGGTACTCTACTAGTTATATATATAACTGTAATCTAGTGATAAAGATAAGTAGCCTAATGGATTGGTACATTGCTTTGCACATAGGATAATTTGATTTGTAATGTTGGTAGTCCAGCTGTTGGTTGCTGAATGTTGATGTACTGAATGTGAAGACTGAAGAATTTCTGTGGTGGTGTCTCAAATATAATCTGTTTGGATTTTAATGTGTTTAAATCTTTTACCACAGATCAAACGAATAAAACTGCAAGTCTCTAAACATAAATCATAGGCTATAAAGTGAACTTTTATCTTCCATGTGAATTGTAAAATGACTTACACTAATTTCAAGTCTACAAGTTACTTACAGAAGAACACAACAACGTTCTCATTTTCAGACAAGATCTTTTCCAACATCCTGGTGTTGACTTCCTCGATGCGTCCCGGGATCTCTAGAGTCTCTTCATCAGTGAGCCATGTCAATACTTCGTCTTCGTCCTCAATATCCCCTGCAAACAGAAACTATGTACCTAGGTTACCCAACGATGCTGCGATAAAAATGTCATTGGGATTCAGGGTCTCAAGCTAGGGAACCCAGCTGATTAACACCTAGAGATTGTGGAACTGTGAGGATTAAAAATATTAAAATTTCAGTTTTCTTTCCAGTTTTGTGAAATAAAACTGAAAATAATAACATTTTCATAAAAAAGGCTTAAAATATCCAGGTATTGAGATATGTTGTAAAGTGATAACCAAACCAGTATAAATAATCTTTTTATGTAATTTTTTTTACAACAGTTAGCAACATTTTGTTAGTGTGCATTTATTATGAGAACCAATTCGTCTAGTTCTTCTTTAGTTCAAGCAAACACATCAGCAAGATCTTAGATCCCAAATATTGATAATGCAAAAGCATGTGGCTGTCAGTTTGGGGGTTTTCCTTATTGAAAAATTAGTAAAGAAACTATTTTTCTATGCGAATCATGCACCACAGAATATATTGTTTACTGCAAATGCAAACATTGGTGGTATGTCAGGTAGCTCAACAATGTAAATATTGAATTTATTCAATCAAGGTTTATGAACAATAACCAACAACCTTTATCATCGATAAATGTTGCTTTGATAAGCAAAGGTAAATGATCTGGTCATGCAAGATTAGCAAAATGCATCATAGGTACAAAGCTAGACAATAAAGGTTTTTTAAGTTCATCAATGACTTGAAATACCAGGGTTGGATTTTCAGGGATTCAATCTCTTACTAATTTTTCAAGAAGCCTACCTTTGTAAGTTAGAGGTTCCTTGTTCCGGAAGAAGATCAGTGATGGGAAGGTTTTTATGCCTTGTTTCTTGGCAAAGCCTGTGTCCTCGGTGGTGACAAAGATGATTCCTGTCTCATCAAGCTCATCGTCAATGTTTTCCAACTCTTCTAAGATATTATCACATTCCTGGCCCTCCTCGCAGCGGCCACCTGCAATTCAAAATCACCTCTAGATGCTTGACTCCTTTAAAACCATCAATAGGTGATACCACATTTACAAACTCACCAGAAGATTACAAACATCCTTTAAACCCACTTTGGGTTTTAAAACTTCCTTAACATTAGGTTGACAAACCCTGTTTTAACTAACCCTGAATATGGGTTTTCTCACTGAAATAATTGCAATGGCGGGTTTAAATTATTTATCTCAGACTAGTTTCCTACATGACTACTCACTGTTACTGCGAGTAGGTCTACCTTATCATTGCTGCTGGTTTACATATTTTGAAGTAAAAGATAAGTATAGTTGGAGAAGAATGTCAAGTACAAAGATGATCTGTCAGCTTGATTTAGCTACTGAACTTAGTTTCAAACATATCAAATTATCTAAATTGATAATCTGTAGATATAAACTGTATATGTAGATTAAATTTGTCTTGTAATTTACTACAAGCTCTCCAATGAAAAAGATTAACTATGTTGACGTTGTAATACTTGCTAGCAAACAAATACTTACTAAAGTATACAACTACGTATTCATGTTCTTCAATCAGGTCTTTGAGAATTTCATCAGTTACTTCTTCAATAGTTGCAGTCTCCTTCTGCTCTATTAGCCATTCAAGCACTTCATTCTCATTCAGAAGATCACCTGAAAGTGAAACCTCTTTCAACTACCAGGTGACAAGGTCTCTCACAGGACAGTGGAATGTGAGAGCTGATAGGCAACGTTAATATTTCTATAATTATAAAAGTATAAGTATAAAGTATAAAACATGAGTCAAATGCTGAAAGGTGTAGCCTTTAATGCTCTGAATTTTGTTTTGTTTTGACAACATACATAATTTGTTTTACTTTATCCCCTATACTGTAGTATATGGAGAAAGTATTGGTTTCCTCAAAATTTTGGAGTTTGAGTGGATATATCCGTTTTGGGTCCCCCTGAACCCAAAAAAGTGGTTTTCGAAGTGATGTCTGTGTCTGTGTTTGTGGATGTGTACAGAGCTACAGACACCTGTCCACCGATTTCAATGAGATTTGGTACGTAGGTTCTAATCCATATATATCCAGGCATTTTTTTAATTTTTTCAAAATTTTTTTTAATGGTGATTTTTTTTATAAAAACCCTTAAAATATAGGAAAGATCAGATTTTCTCGACAACTACCCGAAATGATTTCGATAAAAATTTAGTATGTTATAGTCCTTTAAATTCTGAACAAAATTGAACAAATTCCATTTCTGTAAAAAATATGGTTCCAAAGTTATTGTAATTTATGTTATTTTCCCATAACATAACAAAATATTATACTCCTTTTACGTTGTTTAGCATTGTTTAAATGGAGAAAAGTGGTCATACATTACGAAAACAACACGTTTCTCTGTTACTATTTATCCAATCTTAACAAATAAAGTATCATTGAAAACTACATAAAATCTGCAAACTTTTTTGTCTCTTGCAATTTTTTTTTAGTAAATCTAACGGTTTTCCTGAAATTTGGCATCAAATATTTTAAATGGCCGCCATTTTTAAACGGTTAATGATTTTTTAGTATAATTTCTAACAATAATAGGTCTTAATAAGATTAACATTTTTGCAAAATATCAAAGCTGTATCTCAAACCTTTTAGGAGTTATTAATGTTTATGTAAAAAACACATAAATGCCGACAGTCGGTAAACTAGACACCACAGACCCATGTTCCTATGGTCAAATGTGTTTGTCTTGACCTAAGGAATAACGCTATATACAAGTGTCCAGAGAGTTACGGGACACCCTGTATAAAGAATTTTAGGGGAAAAGCCGGTTTTGATTAAAATTAATGTGTTATGGCCCTTATAATTTGAAACAAAAATAATGCAACCCCCCTTGCTGTAACAATTACGGTTCAAAAGTTATTGCAACTGTTGTGATTTATCCCTATAGAATATCATTGTTAGTCCCACTGCTTAGTGCTTACCCATGATAAAGGTTGTTTACAAGCTTATGGGAGAAAGTATTCGTCAGTTTGCTGATACCGTCTATATATAGAGTACACTTTATTGCTTTCCCCTTTGATGCTACTAATTTTATTGGGGGGAAAGAAAAAGGTTTAACTACTTCTTGTTGTGAGCTTGATAGAAATATTTTATTTTTTGAATTTTCAGTGATTTCTACGAACCTCTTATAATATCATTAAAGTTTCATTTTCAAAGACTTCTGTGACCCCCTAGAAAATGCATTAACTTTTCTGAGACTTTTGTGACTCCCTAGTAAAATCAGTGACTTCTGTAACCAGTAGACAGTCTGTGCTCTAATCCTCAACCTCAACTAAGCGTATGTAACTTACCCTCGTATATGGCAGGTATCTTGTTCTCAAAGTACAGCAGTGTAGGCAGGTGGTCGATGCCGTACTGCTTCGCCTCCTCCAGGTTGTCCAACCTGACCATGGTGATCCCTTCCTTGTCCAAGTCATCATCAATATTCTCCAGCTCATTCAAAACTCGGATGTCCTGTTTGTCTTCCTTGTCGTCTGTAACATCATGTTGATAACAGATAGTAAATCATTTAATGATTTTAAGATGTACTGTGTTGCACTGAAAACCTTCACACAATCTGAATATATATGTTATTGTTTAACTGTTTAGAGATAAGAAAACAAATACCCCCGCCGTAGCAAACATGCAGAATAAGCGAATTTCCTTCTACTTGGCTGGATTTCCACGAAATGATTCCTTTAAAATTGTCATATTTCTTTCCTATGTAAGAATCATTAATTATAATGAGTACTTAGGTTTCCTGCTACAGGGAAGACAGTAAGGTGCGTTTTTTATTGAAATATTGATAGCTTAGTATGAAGTAAACAAATTTTCCAAATTTCATAAAAATATGTCCATAGGCAGCTACTGTATAACAGTTTATATATTCTCCATAACTATAACATGGTTCAAATATATATGAATTTGAACGAATGGTGTTTTTTGCCTCTGGGGACCTCAAAACGAAAAAGTAAATCGGTCCCATATCCAGGTCTTACCATAAGACCTATGGTACCTAATAGCTTTTTCCCTATATGGGAAATTCGTAAAATATTCCCTATATGGGAAATTCGTAAATAGCCTATTCCCTATATGGGAAATTCGTAAATATTCTCTATAGGCCTATGGGAAATTTGCAAATATTTCCGCTAAAAATTCGCTAAAAACCTATCAAGGCTTGAGCAAACCTTAGAAAAGTCAAAGAAAAATGAACCGTGTACTTACAAAACAGGACGGCGAGGTAGTCCACAGATTCAATTAGTTTGTCTAGGATTTCGTCGGTGATGTCGGCAATCTCACTGTGACGTTTCTGGTGGATCAGCCAACTAAGGAGATCCTCCTCCTTGGTCAGATCACCTGCAACATCACTTTGAACAGTTACAACACTAGCCACCTTTACAGCAATAGTACTTACTATATAATGATATTACCTTGGTAATACAGGGTGACACACGGGAGACAGGCGGTTTTCATCTGCGCAGTACTGAAAGTGCGGTGGTAGGAGGTGGTAGTTGGCGTAGAGTGTGTAAAAATCACCCAAACTGTGAGTGTAAGTTATGTTTTTTATTCTCAATGACTTGTGTTGTGGCATAGTCAGCTGGCCAACAATGGACCTTTGTACACCAGCTGTGGCGAATCAAACCTTAAAACTGACTTAAGTAACAAAATTACTAGTGTGCAATAAAAAGCAAAGTCTTTGGTTTCATGAAAGCAAATCTGTAATAACTGTTTGAAGAAAGCTTCGTTTAGATTATGGCTGTAATTCTCCATGTAACAATTCTATTAAATGATGGTACAAGCAGTTCGAACGACTGAGAAGTCATCATATTGTCTAAAGGGTCCTCACCTCAGAAGAAACATAACTTACAACATCAGTTTAGGTGATTTTTACAGTATTTTCATAACAACTTTTCATAATTGATGACATTTTTCAAATTATTTGTTTGCAGTTACTGTATAAACTGTTTTAAATATTCTATTTAATGAAACAATTCCCATGTTTCTAAGTTTCTTGTTATTTATTTGTTTAATCTTTAAAAAATGTGTACAATAATTTATGACCACCCTGTGCATTTGAACATCAAGATACTTAAATAACTAAGAAAACAAATGTGAAATAATTAAATGGCTTACCATCATACAAATATGGAATGCGTTTTTCAAAATAAATAAGGGCGGGTAAGGTGTCAATGCCATATTCCTTGGCTTCGGCGTCATTGTCAATCTTTACGAAAGCAATGTCGTTTTGATCACATTCGTCGTCAATGTTCTCCAGCTCAGCCAGCACCTTCTGGCTCTTCTTTTGGTCTTTATCGTCTGGAATAAACATTTTAATCAGTAAGATATGATAAGAACAGCAAGAATTAAATATTCTGCTTCATTGAAAAATACAACATTATTTTGTTCTTAACGTTTGTATTACAATTAAACCATCCATACATAACTTGGAAGTTAAATTCTAATGTCAATAATCAAATTTAAGAACAAAATGTTAGATAGTTCAATGAAATTTTAAAATCATGCTGTACTAGAGTATGTTAATAGAATCTTAGTTCATATGGGAAGCATACAAATTATTTACTTTTTAGGATTGATGTTAAAAATGCTCAATGAACATTTTATAGAAAAATATAACATTGAAAGTTTGCTGAACTAATCTTTTGGCATGTCACTAAAAATAATGTAATCATAGGTCCACCATAACCACTATGTCTTTGGTGACGAGCAGTTGAGGTTAAAAAAACTGAGAGGGATGAAACCAGTAAGATCAAACCAAATCTAATACAATAATGTTAGTTACAATTGGAAAAATAATTAAAAAAACTATATCTTTAATGATCTTTGGCAATGTCACATAAATGATCTAACACTCAAGAATACTTGAATGATAACTGATACTTGGAACCATTCGGACAATCATTCACACTACCCTATATGTTATCATTTTTTATTGTTATCTACAAGAAGAACAATGTTCTGTGATAGTGTTGAACACTCAGGCAGTTTACAAGATGATGGCAAATCTTACAAAAGAGAGCAGCAACGTGTGACATCTTGGAGATGAGCATATCCAGCATCTCATCCGTCACATCCTCAATCTCATCATTGCTCTGTTGGTGTTCCAACCACTTGAGCACCTTCTCCTCCTCCTCCAGGTTACCTACAGGTTAACAACAAACACATAGCAATGAAATAAAACAACATTAAAATCAAATTTTTGACAATATTCCTCATCTCTTCTTTCCTGATGTTTCAGTGGGTGATGTACCTATAGTACGGCGGATTAGCTAACCTATTGTGCACTTTATGATAAAAGCACCAAATTTGGCACAGAGGTAAACCGATGTAATATGATCAAATTTAGATGTGGAGCCATCGGCCAACTGCCCCTAGCGGCCGTGGCGGCCATTTTCCAAAATGGCCGCTACTGTATAGAAAAATACAATAGAAGTAGGATAAAATTGTCAAAAAAAGTCCGATTTTGATGAAATTTGGCACAAACATGTAGGATAGCATCAGTGAGCTTGAACTAAAAGATCAGAATGATCGGACCATTGGATGCGATAGCACCACAAGTTTTATGGGAGTTGACATTTTTCAAAAATCGGGTTTTTGCATTTTTTACAATAAAATCTTTGAATGATGAAATTAGGACTTATTCCATGTTAAAGAGCTTAAAAAACAAACAATTTAGTTTTTTTGGATCATCAGCGTAGGTTAGATGGTTGTGGAGAAAATGTAAAATAATTACCTTAAAATTCCTCATGCTATTCTTATGGATACGTTGTCCTATTTTATTCTTATGGAGAATATATAAAATTACATATGAAGCTTATTTATGAATATATTTCGATGAAACTTGGTATTTGGCTTTATGTGGTTATAGTAAATAGATATTTGTTTAAAATACCCCAGTTGCAGCAAACCTGCATACTCAGCACAATGTGAAACCTGGCAATATATCAGCTACAATAGTAAAATGAATATATTTTAAGTTAGTGATTTTATCACTTTCTTGATAAAAATCGGTTAGACATTCACTGAGTACGTAGGTGTTCTGTTACAGGGGTACTTTTCGACATTTTTGCTTTTTGTTCCTGACTTTTGTATCTGTTATAAAAACGTCGTATCCGAGAAGTCAACGGTTTCCTTGGTCACAAGATGAGGGTTAAAATAAATGGACGGTGGCAGGACCAGAGGTTGCAAGGCTCATTGAAGAGTTTAAGTAATCTAACCAAGACCAGTCACAAAACACAAAGCATCACAACCAGTCCTCAAGTGTACAGACATCTTTCCAAAAAGACGTCCAGTCCATGATAAAAGTGATGAAAGACTTTGGGAATACATTTAAAGAAAATAGTCAAGATCTGTTGGTACTCAACACCAATGAAATCACACTACCTCAAGCTGTAGCTGACATGAACCTCTTCTCTCGTCTGTACATCGGATGCCAGAACCGAGATGGGAATCTAGACGAATTCTTCAGTTATGAAAACCAAGCTTTCCCTCCTGCACTATCGGATAGGGTTAGCATCCGGTTTGGTGTGAAGAGTGATCTTCTCGCATGTCTAGAAGACTTCAGTCCGCCTAGGTCTGAGATTCCTTCATCAAACTGCATTGTCCTAGACGGAGCAGTCATAATCCAACTGCTGAAGCCTGCTATGGCAAAGACCTTCAATGATTATGCCCAATAAGTATTTGTGCTTCACATACTCTCAAAGCTTCATCGCGCCAAACGAGGGCAGCCCTAGAGCAGCACTTTCGAAGAGCAGTAAACCAAGGCGGACATGTCTGGGGTCAGGCCCTGGTTCCTGCGCAAACACCGCCATCACCAATTGTTTTTCTTCAAAAACATTTTCCGACGCCCCTTGTTGATATCGTTGTCCGTGCCTGTTCTGTCATATAGTGGTATGACAAACCTTTCAATGGAGTGCATGGCGTCTTCAGTTACATGTTCTGGTGCAGTTGAGAGCTACGTGAGCGTCTGGAAGCTCAGGTAGCACTTCCACACTGCCCATGCTGTCCTCCTTCCACGTACGGCGAAGCAAGAGACCGTTTCATAGCCCGTCAACGCTTGGAACATCGGTAGAGCATCTGCCTTGTCAGGACCCAGAGCCCAAGCAGTCTCATGGGCCGCAAAGAAGCGGAAAGTCTTAACCCAGCCGAAGGACACCCACACATCAACTTCCGTTTTCAAGGTACTTGCCAGTGCCACTGCCAGGACAACAACATCGGTGTCAACTGTGCAGATGTGCATCGTCTTGTGGCCATTGTGAGCAGCGTGAGCGGCATGCAACACAATGCGGGTGTCGGCCACCGCGTGGTTGCAAGGAGCCAGTGATGAAGTATCCACAAGCGATGACTTTCTCAAGACATCATCTCCTTTAGTGATGAACAGCTCCTTGTGTGCAAGATGTAATGAGTCGTAGAGGACGTCAGAGAGGAAAGCGAACTGTTCTGTCTTGTTTTCTTCAACTCTGAGGAAGCTGGCCCAGTTGTTGGGTTTAGTTGAACCACCCACCACTCGTCTACCCCACTTCCCCGCCTGGCTCTTGCTGTACATTTCAACAAGTTGTTAATGTAGCTGTCCCACACTAGATCCAGTCGCGTGGTGTGATGAAGCTTTGAGAGTATGTGAGTATGTGAGGCACAAATACTTATTGGGCATAATCGTTGAAGGTCTTTGTCGTAGCAGGCTTCAGCAGTTGGATTATGACTGCTCCGTCTAGGACAATGCAGCTTGATGAAGGAATCTCAGACCTAGGCGGACTGAAGTCTTCTAGACATGCAAGAAGATCACTCTTCACACCAAACCGGATGCTAACCCTATCCGATAGTGCAGGAGGGAAATCTTGGTTTTCATGTCTGAAGAATTCGTCTAGATTCCCCTCCCGGTTCTGGCATCCAATGTACAGACGAGAGAAGATTGAGATGCTTTGTATTTTGTGACTGATCTTGGTTAGATTACTTAAACTCTTCAATGAGCCTTGCAACCTCTGGTCCTGCCACCGTCCATTTATTTTAACCCTCATCTTGTGACCAAGGAAACCGTTGACTTCTCGGATACGACGTTTTTATAACAGATACAAAAGTCAGGAACAAAAAACAAAAACGTCGAAAAGTACCCCTGTAACCGAACACCTACGTACTCAGTGAATGTCTAACCGATTTTTATCAAGAAAGTAATAAAATCACTAACTTAAAATATATTCATTTTACTACTGTAGCTAATATATTGCCAGGTTTCACATTGTGCTGAGTATGCAGGTTTGCTGCAACTGGGGTATTTTAAACAAATATTTATTTACTATAACCACATAAAGCCAAATACCAAGTTTCATCGAAATATATTCATAAATAAGCTTCATATGTAATTTTATATATTCTTCATAAGAATAACATAGGACAACGTATCCATAAGAATAGCATAAGGAATTTTAAGGTAATTGTTTTACATTTTCTCCACAACCATCTAACCTACGCTGATGATCCAAAAAACTAAATTGTTTGTTTTTCAAGCTCTTTAACATGGAATAAGTCCTAATTTCATCATTCAAAGATTTTATTGTAAAAAATGCAAAAACCCGATTTTGAAAAATGTCAACTCCCATAAAACTTGTGGTGCTATCGCATCCAATGGTCCGATCATTCTGATTTTTTAGTTCAAGCTCACTGATGCTATCCTACACGTTTGTGCCAAATATCATCAAAATCGGACGTTTTTTTGACAATTTTATCTTACTTCTATTGTATTTTGTCTATACAGTAGCGGCCATTTTGAGAAATGGCCGCCACGGCCGCTAGGGGGCAGTTGGCCGATGGCTCCACATCTAAGTTTGATCATATTACATCGGTTTACATCTGTGCCAAATTTGGTGCTTTTATCATAAAGTGCACAATAGTTTATAATATCCTAGCTAAACCGCCGTACTACTAGGACTTTGTCCTCTTTAACCATGTAAATTAAAAGCTTTGACTGGTACTGAGTACAGTCTATTGTGAATGTCGTGTATTACGAGTTTTAGCGACCTGTCGCAACTGTTTGTGAGGTTAAGGTTGTTTGGTTAGGAGGTGGGTTTGTCGAAGGCTGACGGTAGTTGATGTATCAGTTGATTGATTGTTGAGGGTTTGGTATATCAGAAATCTTTTCTATCCTGAGCATTTGTTATATATAAGTTTCACTAGCATCTGTTTCATTATAAGTTTAAAATATTTTTTGTCTGCCTTTTTCCTTGTATCAATGACTGCCTTTCCTATGACAATGATTGTTAAGCAACAATTATTTTGGTGGTCATGATCCTGTCACTGAATAAATCACATGTTTAAAGGAAATTAAATCACAACATTGATTTGAGGGGTTAGTTATATAGTTAGTCTCCAAAGGTAATTTAGTTCCTAAAACTTAGTTTTTCTACATGTTTATCTTCCATAATATGGCGTCCAACCTCTGACAAAAATAACACGTTCACAACCGCAATAGTACTAAATTTGTCATTCATATGGACCAGCGACGGCCGGTTTCTACCAATAGACCGGGGCTATAGAATGCCCTGTGGGCTGGCTCACGTCAACGAGCAAAGTGGTTCCACTGCCGTGTGGCTGTGACGTTCCGCGCAGACTCCAAGGGTCGAGCTAGTGCGTGGCCCATGTACAAACTGCTCATTTACACGCTTCCCTACAATTACACAATTCAGTTGTCCGTATGAAACTTATATCGTTGTAATCTGCATTAACTACAGAGTCTAATGGTGAACAAATATTTTAGTTATGATCAATAATAAATTTTTTTAAGCGAAAAACCCATAAGGATTACAAACTTGTAAATTTTGTTTTGTGATAGGAACAAACTTTGAGCAAGAAAATTGTTTATTAATAGTTCTACTTCAATAAATAGTCTTCAAATTCTCAATAAAACCAACGGGTCGTTTATAATTTCATCCCGAAGTGGCGAGTGACACAACTTCACGTTCCATCGCTCATGCCCACACCATGCTGATTGTAGCATGATATTCAAAAAATGTTAGTCTATATTAAAGAATACATTATTTTTGTAATTATTGTAAAAAATGATTATCTTAAAAATTGAGTAGAGTAGGCCTATAGGGTATGGGCTTGGAATATTACCATGGATAAAACGTACTCCCTTAGTAGATTTGTCATCCTTATGGAACAGCTGAAGCTAATTTTATTGTTAGTTCTGTATGTCTGACTGTAGAGGTTGTGTTTTGTTTACAATTAGTTTCTTGTTATTTCAGTCATTCAAAACCTCATTTAACCAAATAAAACGATATAATTATAAACAATAAATGGTCTCCTAGTTATATAACCAAATAGGAATGCACAAATCTAGAAACAACATTTTGTCTTCCCCAGCGATCAGTAGGGTTCTGCAGGTCCCTGAATTTTTCGGGCCGGGTAGGACCAGTGGAAGGCCCGTAAGACTTGGTCGGGTCAGAGATTTGTTCGGGCCAAGATCGGGTTGGGCCAAAAAAAAAAAATAATAACTTATTTTCAAAGAAACACTCTTATATTATATCTATTATTGCAGAGGACTTAAAATGTTCAAATGAAAATCAAATATTAAGTTTTCTCACGTTTAAGAATAAAAGACACAGCAAAGCAATTCAGCTCTGCCACTAGCCACTTCATAAACAATAATTGAACAAAAAATAATCTACAACTACTATAAATGATGACAACAAATAAAAAACACTTTATTAATATAAAAACCTATCCTGCATAGTTGTAGTATCATTCCACAGTATGCAGAATAGGCCTATGTGTTAATTAAAATAAGTTTCTCATTTTGAGCCATCGTATGTGTATGCCTTGCGTATTTTTATGTTAAAACTATTGCCAATAAACCAAGCTAGTACTGTTTAATTTTGATAATAATTAATGACATAGTGTTTTGAAACTAAGACCTAAACAGGTTTTAAACACTGATCTGCTTGTTGGATAAATATGTAACAGATTTTGGATCGCCAGAAACAATTTTCTAAGATTGAAACTCAAAATTTAAAATCTAAACCCATCAGAAAACTTTTGCTTAGCATATTAAGTCTTCATAAAAAAAATTAAGCTAATTTTACAGAACATTCTCCCTCTACAGTGGTTAAAAAACTAAAATATCTAATTAAACTTGTTATAGTGTACCTAAAAGATATATTTAACCCTTTGAGCCCTAGCCTCTGATATATCAGATGCAAAACCATAGACAAATAGAATAAATATAGACCGTCAGCTGTGCTGGGGTTAGCGTAAGTTCCGGCGTCCACCGCAAGGTTTGCCTTGTAGTTACGGCGCACACCGCTGCAGCATCTGCTGGTCGCATACGGCTCCTGCGCTCCTGGCCTGTAGCGGTGTGTGCCGTAATTACACGGCAAACCTAGCAGTGGGTGCCGGAACCTTCCTTTGACAGTCTATATTTATTCTATTTGTCTATGGCAAAACTAACATAACTTTTACAACTCATCAATACCTGATAAGAGCTGAAACCTAGGATTTAGGATTTAAGTTTGGAACTATCACACTTGGTCATAGACAGCACCTCAAAGTTGAAGTCGGAAGTTGATGGGAAGTTGCACCTCAAGTCAGGCATTTTACTTCTATTTGCCAATCTTTACTGAACACCGGTTACAGCCTTTTTTCATTTTTATGTCCATAAGATGAGTGAAAAGCATACCGTAAAAAAATAGGCAAGATTAAATCACCGAATAATTCACGGAGTTCAAAGGGTTAAACAGCATTCAGTTACTAGTTTATAACTTTGGTGGTCAGAGTGTGTAAGTGTGTTGTGCCCAATTTGCTTACTGCACCTTCATACATCATTGGAATGCCCTTCTCGAAGTACATGAGGGCCGGGATTTTCTCAATGCCGTATTCCTTTGCCTCCTCTGTGTTGTCGATCTTGACGAACACAATGCCCAACTTGTCGCATTCGTCATCAATGTTCTCCAACTCGTTGAGAACACGCTGAGACTTGCGATCGTTATTGTCGTCTGCAATGAAAGGGAAAGTTATAAACAATTACTTGTCATACTGCAGCAAAAATAGCCGTTTTCATGCGTGTTGCGGGTCTAAAGTAGCTCTTTTTTTTCCTAAGGGGATAAAAAATCTGATGGAGTCGATAAATTTAAGCAGTACTTTGCTCACTTGTTAACTTCAATTGTGAGCAATGGATTGTATTGAAAATGTAGGTTACATCTAATGTAGATCATTGTTGCATTGTTCCGGAGCGCATTCAATTTTGTTTACATTGAATCTAGAATCTAAGAAGATGGATGACGCGGGGAAACAGTTTAATGCACTGAAAGCTAAGGAAATTTAAGAAAACTATAAATATATCAATATCAATAGTTTGACCAATAGATATCTATCTATAGTACAATGAACACAAACAAAATCAAAATAGAAAAAAATATTCAATGTCTTACTTAACACCTGCTTGCCACAGTAGCAATATAAAAAATAATAATAGGAGTAATTTTGGGAGCTTACCTTTACACACAAAGTATTTTATTCATCTAGTAACTTAATTTGCTTAAATAATTATGTAATATGACTAACTTATATATGAAATACTTAGAGAGATATGAAAAACTTAATTCATCACACAGACTAAAAGTGTCTTTCCAACCCACACTCATTTTTCGAGTTTAATTTGAGCTTGTATTGAAAAGATGTTGCACCGATTTACGCCCTAGTAATGAAATATACTATTTTTGACTCTGCACAGATAACAGCAGTTTTTATGGGTTTGGGGCTGAGTCCTAAAAAATCTACAAATTAATAATGCCTATTCTATTCTATGGTATTCTATAAATGCCTAGGGCATAAAATAGTAAGGTTGAGTCAAAGACATCAGCTGTATATATCTTCTTTTGCAAACAGATTTTGACAAAGATAATACTTCTAGTAAAAATATGCATGATCATGTTGATACTCAAGTTTGCTTGTGTCATGTTAAAATGTATATTTTATTATAATAAATTTAAGTTGATGAAGTGATACCTAATAAGCGGTTTGTGTTGTTGGAAACCTTTTTTAGAGCTAATTATAAGACAAGCAATATTTGAAATGTTCAGTTTGTGAGGTTTCTGAGCTTAAAGAAGGGTGGAAAAAACACCAGAAGCTAAAATTTGTTTTGACCCTCCAGGATACTGGAGCCTTGGATTAGCCTTGGCTGTTAAAATAGAGCTAATGTCGTAATGAATCAATCTAAATATCCTCGTGGTGAAATATACTTTTTTTATATAGAGCTGTCTGATGTGCATTCGGATGGTTACAAATGCTAAGTATTAAATGTGATATTATATAAAAAAGTAAATAAGCCTAAAACACTTACAAAACAATACAGTGAGGGTCTTTCCCTCCTTGACCAGCCGGTCGAGCATTTCGTCCGTCACATCCTCAATCTCATCACGCTCCAGCTGATCTACCAACCACTCCAAGATCTCATCCTCATTCTCAATGTCACCTGCAGTAGGAACACAGCATGAAAACACACAAATACAAAATGTCACAGGAACTTGGCAATAATAACATATGCAAGTAAGTAACCAAAATTGCTAGACAGAAATGGCGAGTGTTTGTTTACATGAATATGGACGAAGTGTAAAGTATAGTGAGCAAATGTGTTGTGAGTTATATGAAGTTTGAACATGAAAATGTCAAAACAGAATGGATCAAAACCAGAGATTATATTTTACAATTTGTATGTATAAAATGCAGGTTAAAGCTCACACCTACAAACAATACAATAAAAACCATTTTCTTTACTTACCATCATAAACGTTCGGAATCTGTTTCTCAAAGTAGACGATGGAGGGGATCTCGTCAATACCAAAGTCTTTGGCTGCTTTGACATCGTCAATCTTAACGAACTGGATGCCGTGCTTGTCACAATCATCATCGATCTTCTCTAGCTCTCCCAGCACCTGCATCGATTCTTCATCATCATTGTCATCTGGAAATCGTTCACTGCTAAACACCTGGTGGATAAATTTCAACTCAACTGTGAGCAAGAGTCAGATCCACTATTTTTGTATCCTAACAATTTCATTGCTCGGTGGCTTTCATTGATTAAGTGGTTAAAGTTTTGTTACATTTTTTAAATTTATTTTTTGGAGGGAAAGTCTCTTGACTTAGGAATATAGGCATAATCACAATGAATTCAGCTTCCATCCTACTACAGTACTTCATTCTGATGAAGCACCTTTGGAGGGACGAAATATTGAAACAAATGTGAGTTAAACTTTGTTGTGTGCTTTCAACGGCCTAAAACTCGTTTCTGAACTGAGTTAGTTGTGTATAAATAAATTCCTTCTTCCTAGAACACACAAACTTCAGTGACAGTTTCAATCAGGAATCAGTAGTAAATTTTAAGTAAAGAAACAGCTCAATGTTAAGAAACTAATTTAAATCATATACTGTATGACCTAAACCTAAACGGATTATGGTTATTTGGCCTTTGGGTATGATGAGTTGTAATGTTACAACAAATGAACACACCTTTTTCTTTGCTGTTTTTCTCCCCACTAGGTCCTTTCTTTAATTTAAACTCATACCCATTGCAAAGTACGGATTAAGCTTCAGGTATAAAAGATATAAATGTTTAGTTGTAGGTACCGTAGTTTAATGACAAAAGTTGACAAAAAAAGAGTTTTATTCGTTTTCGTAATTTCTTCGTCTGTCTATGTGTGTTTATGTATGTACTTTTAGTAGGAAACAATGACAAGGATTTCACCATCCAACTGCGATGTTTTGACAATGGCCGATACAAGCCGAAACATGTAGACCACCTTCAATAAAAATTAGCTGTTTGTCGGATTTATAACGTATGTAACCTATTTATCATACAAAAGTTGTTCTGAAAAACTTATATATTTTAGAGATACGCTAAGTAATAAAGACATTTTTATTTATTTATTTATTTATTTACCGGTACACTAGTTTCCAAATACTCACAGAAGAGGACAACAAGATTATCGATGGATCCAATGAGAGTTTCCAGAGTTTTGGCGGTCACATCCTCGATGACGTCTTCCTCGTCTCCGGTTGATTTGTTCTGTACAAGCCACTCCAGCACATCTTCCTCACGGGTCAGCTCACCTACAATCAACAACAATATAAAACAATTTTGTTGGATATTTTCAGTTGAGATACAGTAAAAGGTTTATAAAACGCAACTTCTTACTTTTTACGTAAAATTAAATTTTCCATAATTCATTCACACAGAAAAACCAAGGGCCACAAGACACCTACTCACGCTTAACCTCTAATTTATAATACGCCATTTACAAAAATAATTTTTTAAACAAATCCGGTAATGGTAAATAGTTTTGTAAAACAGGTTTTTCAAAAGTTTTTGCTTTGCTCACCACGTTTTATCCAGAACCCTTCTATCGGGGATAGAACGTACTAAATGTATAGCAATCAAAGCAGTTTTAATTTGTCTACCAAACTTCTTACCTTCATATATGATGGGTATCTGATGTCGGTAGTAGACCAGTTTCGGCAGCTCTCCTAGGTTGTATTCGTCTGCTAGGTCTTCATCGCAGATCTTCACGAAGCCAATGCCCAGTTGATCCGCCTCGTCATCGATGTTCTCCAGTTCTTGCAACGCCTTCTGACACTTCTTGCACTGTGGTTTGTCTAAAATAAATATTGTGTAATAATACACAATGTAAACAACAAGAGCCCATCTGTGGCCTGTAAACACCCGAGAGCGAGATTCTGAAATATCATGATATTATCAAATGATACACCACTATGGTAATTTTTGAATTTTAATGTTTAATGATTTGCCTATTTCAAGATGTAGTTCATTGTATATATATGAGTTTAAGTTGAGATGACTGAAATGCTAATGACATTCACTTGATTCAAGACTAGCAAAGATTTTCTTGTTTAAGAAAATTTTAAAACTTGAAAAATATTTGTATAGTCCACTGTCAAATGTACACCCGTGTGCTCCTTGATGAGGCAGGTGTGGAAGTAGTCTTAATCTCTTCGTTTGACCTTTGAGAAATACAATTTCGATGGTGGCACTCTTGGAAATGGTGCGTTTGGACGCTGTGGGTAAAAACAAAATGGCCGCCATTTAAAATGTTTAAAGTCAAATTCCATGAAAACCAGGTATTAAAACAAAATTTTGCAACACATTATTTAAAGTCCTTTTTATTACAAATCGAATGACACTTTATTTGCGAAAATCGGATAATAAATAAAAAAGTTATGTAACTTTTATTATAAATAGTAGTTATCAAAATGGCAGTCATTTTGAAATCACAAAGTTAAATTCCATAGAAACTAGTGACAAAAACATAATAAAAGTAACATAACTTTTTTATTTATAATCCGATTTTCGCAAATAAAGTGTCGTTCGATTTGTAATAAAAAGGACTTAACATATTGTGTTTCAAAGTCTTGTTTCAATTGCTGGTTTTCATGGAATTTGACTATAAAGAATTTTAATGGCCGCCAATTTGAAATTCCAAGAGCCTGATCAAAGATTTTTTCGGAGAATGTTTATAGTTGTAGACTTAAAGTTTATACCAAGTTTCATAAAAATATCTCTAAGGGCTTTTGAGTTATGAATTATTTTCAAAAAATACAAAATGGCGGAATTCGGCTTAACTAAGCCGAAATCGAAACAATGTTATACAACATTTTCTTCTTATTTTTGCACATAGAATCTGAATCTGCATAGCCCATCACGCTTTACTGAAACACCCTTTATTACTTTTTGAAATATTTAACTGTCCTGGGACATTACATCCACCCTGATTAATTTTATTTATGAAAAATATAAAATTATGTTTTATGAAAGAATGGTTGATCCTACATAAAAACTGTAATAATCTTTTTTGTGCAGATTTAAAATAGCTACATTTTGGTATCAACAATTTTCATAACTCTAACGGTTACTGATATAAGTAAGAAAACAAGTTTGCGATGGCGGCCATTTTGTTTTTTACCCACAGCGTTCAAACGCACTATTTTCAAGAGTGCCACCATCGAAATTGTATTTCTCCAAGGTCAAACGAAGAGATTAAGACTACTCCCACACCTGCCTCATTAAGGAGCACACGGGAGCCTGTATATGTACATTTGACAGGGGACTAGTAGAGAAAAGCATTCTTTATAAAAAATGTGGTACAATTTGTATGGATTCCACAGGATTGCGGTTAAACAAAAAATACAGTCTAACACAAAAGTAATTTTATATTAAATATTATTAACAAAACTCAAATATACTTAGGCACCAACATAATATCATTGCTGTTCATGATATATTTTTTAATGTCAAATAATGTTAAATTTTACTACTAAACAAATTAGAACATCGTTAATATTTAAAAATCTTTGTGATTTTACAGCTTATTAGCAGAGATTATCAAACTCATTGAGTAAAAAATGGTATTTTAAAAATCAAAAATACTGTTAAAGCAAAATTGATAAAATAATAATCCAAAAGAGAAGAAAAAATTATTAATACTTTGCAAATATAGCAGTAGGGCACAAGCGATTTGCACAAGCAGAAGATCACCAAATATGTGATTTGAAGTATTGAAAATAAAAACTAAAGATTTAAATTTGAAATAGATGCGTGGTCAGATCATAGCATACAATATCAACTTTAAAAACCAAACCAAAATTAAAATAAGTCATGAACTGCTTTGCCAGCGAGTATTGCAGCCTTCCTCACACATCAATTTTGGCCTCAGTTCCTACGAAGTATTGAATACGACCTTTTCATGCTAAAACTGAATCCCACCATTCGCTGCATCCAGTTTGCCCAAGCTACTCAACAGGTGCTAAATCCAAATACAGGATGAAAGTGATAAGTCAGAGTGATATGTAGGAACGTACAGGAACTACTGAGGACTACTAGTGACTACTTCTACGGAGACAAGAGACGCAAGCAAGAGAGCAAAAGAGACAGAGAGAGTGAGAAAGAGAGAACCATGAAGAGAGCTTACTTACTAGAGCCAGGGCCAGGACCACACATGTCTGGACCTAAACATGTAATGGTTAGAACAAGCTGTGTACATAGCCAACACCTAACAACTTTCTGGAACTGTGCACATATAAATTGATTTTCAAGCCCTTTCCAAAATGAAAATAGTAAAAATCAGAATATATATTTATTTTTTTTTAATAGGCATGTTTCAAAACCAAATGTTATGTGTGTGCAAAATGTGTAAACTGTACTAACTACAGTATAACATTTAAATAAAGGATAATAAAATAATACAGCAATAAAATCTGTACAGTAATAGTTGAAGAGGCTGTGCGGGTTTAGTAGTGCCATGACTTTTCGCCGTGACAAAGTCGCCAAATTACTCGTAATTTTCAAACAGGGAAAACTATTAATTTAGCAACAGGAGTAAAGAATTAACATGTATCCGTTTGGAAGATCATAAGTCCAGAAGGATTGAATATTTAAAAAAAACCAGTACCTGCTACCTGTTAGAAAATGTCAATTAATCTTTAAGTTTATCACAGTTCCAAGAAAGAAACTAATTTTCAGTTTTGCTAATAATAAAACAAACATATAAAATTATTTACATTCTAAACTAAAAAGTAAAAACCATACTACCATGATGACAAAATTCTAAACACTAGATTAAATTAGAGACTGCTAATTCAAGTTGTAAACTACAAGTTGTAAATTTGAATACACAGAACTAAAAACAGTATACCAGTGTTCAGAATTGGCTTTTCACAGCATGGGAGTTTGTGGTCAGAACAAATTGGTTTATCAAAACTTACTGCGCGATTAAATAGGGTTGTGCGATGCAGGTTTTTTTTTCGATTCAAAGAACTTCGATTCGAATCGATGGGATTTTATGCAGCACGGCATGATTTTCTTTCAAAATTATTTACAACTTGTGATTCTGTAATGGAATATTTACCTTAGAAAAAGGTCAAAGTAAAAAAAAATACTAAATAAAATGTTTTATGAACTATCCTCTAAGTTGCTGACCTAACCTTCTGCTGATGGACACTGCTAATTTTATGGTTGGCCTAAGAAAATCCAGACTTCACTAACAATTTAGAATATCTATTTGATAGGTAGATCCATGATATTATGTAATAAATAAATATGAAATAAAAATTAAAAATAAAAATGTTGTAATTAATAAAAGTGTGTGTTAAACATAAAAAAATACAGAGATCAGTAAGAAGGCTTACCAAAAAGTTAAAACTTATTAATTAAAACTTAAAATTGAACACTTTATAATAAAACATTACTTGATAAATTAACTGTGAAATAAATACATTTTTAAATAGTCTAAAATTATAAATTAGTATTATATATGCATCGGGATGTAATCGATGCATCAGGACCAAATCGATGCATCGAATCAAATTGAATCGGATAAAGGTTGGATCAGCATGCCATGATGCCGTAGCGTGTCGCCAGTCGACAAATGTTGCAAACCGACAAATGCTTATGCCTAAACTTGCTTTAGAAGCTAATCCATCAATATACTTGAGCATTGTACATAATTTAGTGTAGGCCTACATTAGATGATGATTTATAAAATGTCAAGAGATTAATTTTGGTCTTAAAATAGCCAACACCTAAGTTAACCAACATTTGTTAAAAAGTTGAATATACTAATAAAAGTTTGATAATAATTTGTCTCTTTACTGAGATCTTCTTGCTAAATAAAAAAATGTAATCGTTTTCAGTCGGAAAGTCCCGAGTGTTCGGAAAATTGTAACTTATTACATTTTAAGTTCCGGTTCTGGTTTCGGAGCGAGTCCAAGTTCTTGCAGTGACTAATACTTCAAAGGAAGGAAGGTGAGGAGATTTTCTTACTGCTGATAGCCTTTTTTGAATTCAGCGTGAAAAATACTGGGTATTTTCTATAGTTTGGGCCGTTTAGGGGAACCAAACAAATTGTTATAAACTCTTCCTTCTCATAATTTCAGTAAACTATGATACTATTATTTTAATAGAAGTTAAATAGATGTCAAGAAAAAATAGACTACAAATTACCTTTAAATAAGTCCATAGAGACACATAAAACCTGTCAATTTCCTTAATAATTCCTGGCAAATGCCCTATCTTTTTATAAGACTACAAATTAATATTTTTGGGATAGATTTACATTGACCAAAGAATACTCTCCAAGTATAGTGTAGTGATAAAGTTTCCCGAGCAAAGCTCGGTCTTTAGGTACTATAGTATTTAATTTTGAACTGAAACTGAATCATAGAGTTGAGATGGAACTCAAATTTAGGTATAAGCAGCAAGAACTTGCTAGAGTAGGAAATCTTTATTAAATAAAAAAATATACTTTAGCACAAGTAAATTAATTTGAACAGATACAATTCATAGATTAAAATTGAGATATTGGATTTACACAAATGTCGTTTTTTAATGGTTTTTATGTAGTTTTAATGGACCAGTTTTACCTCCTTGCTGCTATATTTTAAGCAGTTTTATTCTTGAATGATTATAACACACTAGTTAGTTGTCAAAGGAAACTAAATATCTGTCAAGAAAATCATATAACACAAGTCACAACTAAACTATACACTATTGAAGTCAGTATACACTATACACTAAACTAAACCTTGTACTTACTAATCAGCACTAACACAGAGAATACATTCCACTATTCGGTAGTTCCAATAGCTGCAAAGCTTCCCTAAATCTGTTTGTTTAAATATATTGTTAGCAAGTTTTGAAATATGTTTGCTACCCAGTATAAAGAGTAGTGGGGTGGGAGTTAATTTCAAAAGAATGATTCTAATTTTAGTCAGATGAAATGATATTTTGTTTTCAATTTTAGTTTTGGCTCCAGATTAGAATGAACTTAAAACTGACAAAAGAATATTGAGAAGTAGTCTAAGCTAGTCAGCCAAAAAGGAGAAATGTAGAGTCATTCCAATAATAAGAACATAATATTACCTCAAACTTGGCAAATTGTATTTAGTGATTTAAATTATTGTCGGTCAGGGTAAAGTTTCTGTTATAAAATAATTTGAACCTGTTAACATGACAATAGACAGATAGCAACATTTTATCCTTAAATTATCTGAAAACAAATGTTATTTGGAATGATAGCGGTTTTATTTCGAGCTTATTTATTTAAAATGTGAATATACTCTAGGGATTGCTAATATTATGACAAAAGCTGAGAATCAATCAGCAATCCTATTGCAATTGCTCGTATTGTATACGTGTTTTTTGACCTAAATCGCATCACGAGCTGTCTGCAACATGTAACGGCTATTTTGCTTGTAATAATTTCCTCAAGCTCTTAAAAACTCTTCTCTAAAAACTAAACATATCTTACTGCTTCATTGTTTCAACCTTTTATAGCGTAATTATTATTATTTTTCTCTGCCTTTGTGTTTAGTAATTTAAATGTCCCATTGATCAAATTTGGTATTTCATTGTTCAAACCTTGTTTGAGGGAGTGAGAACACTCTTATTTGTGAAAATTAGTAGGGGAAAACTAGAGTAGTTATAGTGCTCGCTGGTTCGATCCTGAGTAAAGTGTGTAGCTTTTTGATGGTTTGAAACTGGGTCCAACTGTAATTGATCATTGGGATTTCAATTAAATTGTCCTGACTAATGAAACAGCTGATCTTAGTCAATAACAAAGCTACACAAGGCATCATAATTGGGTTAAATACGCACAAAGGTGATGAGCCCATCTCAAATGAATATGAATAGAGATTATGTTTGACAAAATAATAGTCAACATGTAGGAAGTGTCTGACAAATTTAAAACTGTACAAGACAATTGCTTATCCCAGAAAATCACATAAGCCAGCTGATTATATATTTTTTACCCAAACAGGAATGTTCCCTCTTCAGTGGGCCAAGAATGATTAAAATATCCATCTCTTCAAGGCAATCCTATTACATGATTTTTTTAACAAAAGTGCTAACAGCTCCACCAAACAAAAAGACTCACAAAATAGAACAGCGACGTAGTCAGTGTCCTCTACAATCTTCAAGAGGATTCTGGCGTTGACGTCCTCTATCCTGTCGGGTAGATCCATCGCTTCCAGACTTGTCAGGAAGTCCAGGACACCCTCCTCGTCCATTAGATCACCTAGGAAAATGAACAGGAATAGTTAGTACTATCATATTTGTGAAAACATCTGCAAACTAGTACCTTGTACACGTTGTGTCAGCGCTGTCTTTCTACTGTGGGCGGGGCAATGTTTCATCAAACTAACAAGAACCCCAATGATATATGTAAAAATATTTCTGCATATACTGGAAGTATTCTGTAGTATTCTGTATATACTAATTTTAATCTATCATGATTTTTTTCTATTAAACAAGGAAACATCAATAAAGGTGATGAAGAGTTTCTTTAAATAGAGCTTTTATACATTCATCTCTAAAAAATATTTTCCACTTAAACCTTTAATGGAAACCCCGAGACAGATACTAGTTGTGATTGGAAAGGTTCACGATTAACGTAATTTCTACAAAAAGTTAAATTGATCTGACACAGATTTAGTAGGACTAACCTTATCCACAACGGCACACCGAAATTCCCCCACATACCATCTCGACCAAAAGGGTTTACTAATCCCCTAATCAAAACTCCCCTGCGAGGGTGGCAGGTACCTGAGCCCACCTGAGGTTTGTTATACCGCGTAATTACTCAGGAATGCTCCAACCCCACCCTTTAAACGACATAACAAAGAGAACTACAAAATATTTTACCCAAAAATATGTATTTCAGTTTTGCTTAGGGTTTCAAACCGAGTATTACTCTGTGACTCTGTGGGGGAAAAATTTGTATTTGTAAATAAAATCCTCCATTGAGTATACCAGTCTTGCTGATTTCCAACCTTTGATTGTCACTTTACATGTTCTTTTGAGGTAATTTTAGTTTGTGTTCCTTAAGGGGCCTAATGAAAAAATAAAGTGGTCCTGGGCTTATGTCTTATGTCTTCCCTTACAGGGTAATAACTTCTTTCCCTACTCGATAATAAAATTAGTAAATATCTTATCGCAAGCGGATGCCCCCCCCTTTTGGATCCTTTCAGCGGGTTGAATGAAAAAAGTACAGGTTTTTCAACGGGCGACTTCATCATTTTATAACAAAAATACTACCGGTACTGATGCAGTCGTCACAAAATTTTGATAGCTTTTAGAACATATATTTGTTAAGCATATTTATAAGATCAGTAATTTTAACATTCTCCTTGTCATCCTATTGTTGATAATTACAGTGTGTTCCGCCAGATGGCAGTGTATGCTAAAGTTTTCGGTTAAAATGACTGAACTTTGACAACCTGTTGTAGCAGAACGACTGAACCGATTTTAATCACTTTAACGTCATTCGACGTGGAATTTAATGTTCGTTTGAAAAGTATGGAAACACTTTGAGTTATAAGCAAAAAACTAAAATATGAGCAAAATCGCCCTAGTTTTTGCCTCCCATACACTAAGCTCACTTCAGAATCCGTCACAAACTCATTTTTAGCTTGTTTAGGATCTGCAGAGCAGATTAAAACAATTGCCAGCTTTCCCCCAATTTTTAGGAGCTAGCTACAAGTCTAATTTGCCTGGGCTAATCTCCAGCAGAATCAGTCATAATACTAAAACAAACAGCTGCTAGACAGTTACGGTTGTAACAGAAACATGTGAATGTATGTCATGTGGCAGTTTGCCCAATCTGCAGTTTAACGTTTGACATTTGTACACGGATCAAATTAATAGTTTTTCTTCCGCTTGGCACTGATGTAAAATGTGCAATGTCATATGTGTTTGTTGCTTTCAAATTGCTTTATCTTTTCATCTACCTGTACACTTTTTATTGATTTGGCATGTTTATAGAGCCTCTATAGTGAATGGGCCCAGACTTAGGTCTTATGGGAGTGAAAGGAAGAGAAAGATTCCCTAGCAAGGAATGTGGGAGAGTCTAAATACCTCTTGGGCCCATAGTCACGTGCAAACTGTCATGTATTCTTAGAATTGTTATGTTAGGATTAAGTATGTGGTTGGCAAAAAAAACTAAATGATTTATACTTAGTGTAAAAATAAAAATATTATATTAAAATCAATAAATTTTATTTTATCAGCAATGATGTTATCAAGTTTTGGTTATGACAGCATAGGCCTACACATGCTATAAAAGATGAGTTGAGTGATGCTTGCTTGTATTAAGGAATAAACAAACATTGAACACATCTGACTACACTAGCCATAAAAACATTCTATGTTTAGCTGTTCAACCAAAAGTTCCAATGTGCTAATCAAAGAATGCCATGGATAGCAAAATAGAACCAAACCCAAGAAATGAAATGAAATGAAATGAAATGCTTGAAATGAAATGAAATGCTTGAAATGAAGAAATGAAATGAAATCAAAGAATGCCATGGATAGCAAAACAGAACCAAACCCAAGAGCTGTATGCACAATCATAACTGAATTAAAGAAACTGAGGACTTCAAATAAGTGTTGTAGTATATGTACCAACTGTTAATATTTCAAATGCCAAGCTAGACTGTTTATTTCACATGCATCATTAGAATGGTTGGTCATAAAGTTCACCCAAAGCAAAGGTTTTTACTGTATTCAGGGAGACAATTATTCAAAAATTAAAAGTTTTGCAATTCTTGTAAGGTATGTAACGGGTATTCCAAAATGGTAGAGTCTCGATTATATTACCTTTGGTTACCCAACCATCTTTGTTATTTAGGCCTTTCTTTACCGTGATATCACCTTGCTCTGACTTTATTTTCTTATTGTTTTAGCACACTGCATATCATACAAACAAAACTCATCATACCTGCATACTAGTCTTTTACCTTATTAGTTTTAGTCTCATTACATTACAACCATAAGAACTGTAGCTGAGTAAACGATTATTGATTTTCCTTTTATTTTAGTTACAAAAGTGGTGTTTTTACTTTATTAGTTATGTTTTTAAGTTATTTGCGAAGATAGTTACAAAGTGTTACAAAGTTAGGAACATAAAAGAGTTGTAAAGAGAGTAAGTAGTATCAATGAAAGACAAACTTGAAGCCTTGTATAAGTTTATCAGGAGAAAAATCTTATTCAATTAAAGATGTTAATATCTTTACCTAGGTTTTTTTATTACAATCTGCATCATCTGATGTTTCCGCTTATCCAACCTTGCCAATAATCAAGACTTTACCATATTAACTATACCGGGTGTTTCAAAAATCAGTTTACCGAATAAGTGTATTTGTTTGAAGCAAATAATAAACTAGGTATTCAATGCAGTTGTCTGCTTGCAATATTGAGCAGAGCTAGCATATTAATCCAAAACATTTCTAAAGTCAATGCTACCGGTTTCTCGTAAATGAGATATATACTTGCAGTATCCAATGTCAATGGTATATTTGGTTCACATAAATAGAATGTCTATTTGCAGTATTCAAAGTCAATTATAAGTCTGGTTCACGTAAATTAATTGTCATGACAACCAATTAACCCATAAGGCCCATGTTAAATTTTCAAAAGTTTAAATTCACGTAGGGAAAAGGCCTGTGGTGCGATTTGTACCATTTCAGATTTATACCTTCCTATGGTTGGTTACTATGATCCGCTTCAATCAATTGTATTTATATTATAATTTTATTGAAACTGAATTTACACTACACATAGAATGTCTACACAACAAAAGTTTAAATTCACGTAGGGAAAAGGCCTGTGGTGCGATTTGTACCATTTCAGATTTATACCTTCCTATGGTTGGTTACTATGATCCGCTCAATCAATTGTATTTATATTATAATTTTATTGAAACTGAATTTACACTACACATAGGTTGTAAACTTAAATGTTTTCCACTAACTTCAATGCATTTTTCACAGGGTTTTTTTTACACTTGAAACTATCTTTTTGCATAGATTTTTATTGTTGTTTAAGGCTTCAAATTCCCTTGCAATGGCTGCTCTCAATTGCAGAACAACTAAGGACTGTTCGGCAAAAACTTTATTTTTAATGATCCCCCAAATAGAAAAGTCTAATGGTGTAAGATTGCAGGACCTTGGTGGCCAATCAATTCACAAGAGAATTTGAAGCCTTAAACAACAATAAAAATCTATGCAAAAATTGTGTTAAAAGTGTAAAAAAAAAAAAACACTGTGAAAAATGGAAAAATGCATTGAAGTTAGTGAAAAGCATTTTGAACAATTATTTTAAGTTAACAACCTATGTAATGTAATATTACATGTCATTCATTCATCATTAACATTAATTTCTCTTTTATTTTGTATATTTTCTCCCATAATGTCTGTTAATGCCCCTGATAATGTGTTATCAGTTATTTAATATGTTCCTCCTTGTTAATGTGTTATTTTATCCAATTTTGTTCAATGTTATATAATATCCCATCACCCCACAGAAACATCATCCTATTTTATGTTACAATATAATATTTATGCAAATTCTCTCCATACCTATTAAGTACTCATCAAAAACCAACAATAATCATTTATTTAGAATAACATACAATTGTAAGAAAATTGCAATATAGTAATAACATCTTAAATATAGTATTACTTTTCAAAATTATCCAAAGAAAATCAAAATTACTGTGGCAAGTGTCATTCATGTAAATTAACCAGCTGTACATCACTTCAACAATGGACATGGACTTCCTGGGCTTCTACCATTGCCTCTCCCCAGATCCTGCCAACTCTTCACAGTGTGAACATCATTCTATTGGAAATTGTGTTTAATTTAAACTAAAATTCATAATCCCAAAGTAAAACCTAAAATTTAAATTTCTCATCATCCAAAAGTATTGGACAAGTGCATTGAAGAGTACCAATTTATAAGAAGACAGACACTCCAGATTTGGTAACCATCATCCATCTTATTTAACTAAGGACACATTTAATCTTCATTGGACATTTAATCAGTATAGCCTACTAGGCCCAAAACTCAACTCATCAAGATATATACATATTTCAAATTGAACTTTTATTCAAAATTTAATCTTCAAATTCTATTTTATTTCATTAAATTCAGTGAAACCATTTGGAATCTTTCTTTGGACATTAACATTATTATATTAATAGCATCATGAACCTAGCTTAACTTATTTCAGAACAATAACTAAATTAAATTATTTGCATTTTCAAGAAGCCTAATATATCATTCGAACCGGCACGACCACCCCTCCCTGAGATTAAGAGCTCATATTCAAATAGTATTAGTACTGTACTTTAGAAGAAACCAACCCAATAAGCCTAGAATAATATCATCCACTTTGGAAACCCCACCATTTTGAAAATTTACCATTGTTAACTTACCCTGTAGCTAATTCAACCAACAACTTATCTAATATTTGTATTTCATTAATAAATTTTATATTGTAACTTATCAAATCTATTTATTCTTAAAATAATTCATAATTATAAGATTAAGACAAAGACTTACCTTATTAGACAGAAATAAAACACAAATTAGGAATTATCTTTATTAGGAAAGAAATGACTTTGGGTTCAATGTGGGCTAACTTATTAGCCAAAGGAATTTTGTAGGCCTAAGTTAATGAAAAGTCTATAGAAAGCTTTATGGTCTGTAGCAGTAAATTTAGTTTCAATAAAATTATACCGTATTGTGAATACAATTTATTTATTATTTGCTTCAAACAAATACACTTACTCGGGAAACTTATTTTTGAAACATCCGGTATATTAACTTGTATTTGCCTCGAGGTAACTGGGCTTAATTCTCAGGGAAGCTAGACTGAACTCAATCCCTTTACTAATCATTTCTACTAAAATTCATTTTCATAGCCCCAGGATTGCGTTAATATGACAAAAAATGGTTAATACTCTGACGAGGTATGTTTAACCATTATTTGTCATTACTAATAAAGTATTTTCTAAAATCTTGAATTTAAAAATCCCTTTAATTGTTGGTTATTAAACTCAAGCTAACATACCTTCATAGATGATGGGTTCTTTCTCGCGGAAATAGGTGAGAGCGGGGAAGTTCTTGATCCCGTAGTGCTTGGCCAGTCTTTTGTCGTTGATCTTGACAAAGTCCACACCGAATGAGTCCGTGTCATCGTCAATCTTCTCTAATTCTTCTAACACTTTATCACATGTTATACAACTTCTCGCATCTGAAACAGCACAGGATAATGTTACAAAGTGTAATTTTTATTGCAAATCCCTTTGAAATAGAAATTTAGTAGCAATTAATTTCCTTACAGTTTATCTTGTGAACCTAGTGATTTTAAGGATTCAGTTGGTGTTGATACAAAAAAAGGCTGATATCTCGCTAACGAGGTATTTATACTCCGCGCCAAAGCTGGTGGCGGCTAAGGGATTAGGACGGCCAGGTCGGTGAGCAGGTCTGACATATGTAGTCCTACCTGGCGGTCATAATCCCTCAGCCGCCACCAGCTTTGGCGCGGAGTATAACAAAAATTTACTATTTAAGCAGCTACTGTCATGACAGAAAGGTCATATTCCTTTTCTAGATCACATTATCCTTTATAAGATACGTTGATTAACAATGCATGTAAACGTCAATATCTACTTAACAGCCAATTTGCAGTATGTTTTTTTCCTACCACATTGCTATTTCATTTGCATTATTTGTTGCCAATCAAGCCACACGACCATATAAACGAGGAGGCCCCTAACCGTCGATTTCGACGGGTTTCACCTAGTATAATCTAATGGGAAATTTGCTATAGCTAAATATAATGGAATAATATTAGGCTATATCATATGTCTCCAAACTCAGTGGCTAAATTATAACAATGTCTTTTTTTATTTTACTTAGAAATTACAAATAATAACAGAGTTTATAAATTTTTTATGCAATTCATCAATGATTTATTTGAAATCCTAATCCTGTTCCAGAAAGATTGCTACTGTTAAGCAATGCAGGTAAATGATGGACTTCATAAAACAGAATGTGTGTGGTTTTATTTATTTACCAGGGAAGTTTACTGGTGTTCCAAAAATAGTTAGTACCGTAACCAAGAGCTGGCTCTTCTCGTAGCTATAAATCTAGACAACCTCTCACAACTTTAAGATCTTGTATTGTCGAATCTGTATCATAATTGTATCTGTCTGTATGTCAAAAAAATGTTTTTATTACTTTAAAGTAAAAGTAAAATAGTGAGTATTTATTTTATTATTTCAAAATTTCTTTTAAGAATTGGCTAATTAAAATACGACTGTATTCATCAAAAATTTCAGACTTAAACCCCAATTTGGCATAACAATTTGGAAGAACTTACATTTTGAGTGATCTAAGTTGATCTCAGGTATTCTTATTGTTTTTTATATTAACTAAAATTGTATTTTTTTATTTTAGGTCTATTTGAAACTGACTTTTGTCTATATGTTTATGGACAATAAATGATTTGATTTGATTTAAATGATATTCAACCAATAAATTATTAATTTTGTTTCAGTATACAAATACAGTACAGAACCACCATATTTTGTAATTTTTTCCTATTTAAATTACCAATTAAGTGTAGATCAAAGATTTACATAAAAAAATCTAACTGCTTTGTTAAAAATGCATTATTTTTCAATCTCACAAAAATTTATAAATTGTAGCATTATCATACTTATAAGTGTTTTTTTTCTAAAATCTTTTATAGTAAGGTCAAGAAAAGTAACTACACTTTGCTGGAATACGAGATCAACATTTAATTGCAATAATTAATTTCCACTATCTTTTAAAGGTGGTTTTAATAAGAGATTCGGTTTTTTTTATTTTAAGCTTAGTCAAGATTTTTTAATGGACTAGTTAGCCAAGTAGAAAAATTGCTGTCTAATATTTTCCTTCCAAAAGGTTGCTAGTTATATCCCTGACAGAAAAAAAATATAATTTGTACACTAAAATGCCATTTTTGTAATTGATCTTTCCATTCATGGGGTTTTCTAAAGATTGATTTTAGGAAGTGATATTTTTGCAATTTATATGTTATAATAAAAATATTTAACTGTCCATAAGCATTTAAACACACAAAATTAAAATTAAAAACAGGAGGTGTTGTGGAAACTTATTAGATAAGATTAATTTTTATACCCTGTGTTGGTGCATGATGTTTGGTTAATTTTCTTTGCTCTCCTTCTTGAAAGTTAGAGGGTACTTTAGGTACTTATAAGCTATGTGAAGTTTATACATATTTAAAACTAATTATATCAAAAACATAGAGATTGGTCCAAAAATGTAACGGGCATCTTTTTGTCATTTAACTGATAACTAATATGTCTTCTAGTATAGGCAATGAGCTGTGAAATCACATTACAAATGTTATTTTTAGCCTTGGCAGCCCAGATTGAAAACATGCGTTACTCTATGTTTGCTTGACTATAAAAATTAATGTTATAGACTACTTTCCTCAGCTGTGTACGAGACTATTTAATTTTTCAATAATGGTTGGAAATGTATGCTTGAGATTAAATATATTATTTACTTTCACATCTCGCATTACAAGTAAAAACTACCATGAAACATAAGCATTTAGAGATTGATTTTTGAGTTTTTTTCTTGCGTGGTTTAAAGAGATTTTGGATTTTTGCTGAACCCTAACTAGACAATCAATTTAAGGTCAATTTTGATGTTAAATCGAGGAGATGTATACTGTACTAAACATATGTAAATAAGCATTTTTATTTACCGTAAAAATGTGACAGTTGCAAACTTTTTTTAAATTTAGCACTTCGATGAAATGAAATGGCAATCATGATAAAAAACATTCCCTTATCAATATCGTCAACAGACCAATACTAATACGATTCGCCAAAGTACAAAAATTTAAATATGAAACAATACAGGAGAAAAATATGTGAAGAAATATATGTTTGCAGAATGGATAGTAGCGAGCCACGGCTGCCGAAGAGCAGTCACCTCCTAGCTATTCCTAGTGTGCCATCTCCAAAAATGGACGGCCGGGCAAGATTTCAAGATGGCGACGATCGCGGATAGAAAGCGAACTGAAGGCTTAGTCCCTGTAGCGAGGTAGACCATCACGGGAAAGAGCTGGAGTCCCAACATCTTGAAGTCAATCTCAGTTTAGGGCAGAGGTGAAATCAGCTTTCAAGTTAAATTTTTCTATTTCTCGTAATTAAGTTAAAGTAAAAAAATTTAGGTTAGTTAATTTTATGTGTAGCCTATTGATGGGTTTGTTCATTAAGAATATGAAAAAATATACCGAAGGTAATAGCTGTGTGTACAACATAATAAACAAATAGACCTATACCGGCGAAATATTACAAATATATTCAAAATGAGTAATCAAGTCGAAAACCTGACGCCGATGAGTACCTACGTAATTTGCAATAACAAATTCAAATGGCGATTGTATTATAGCTGATATACCGACTACCTAACATAACCAAACCTTCTACATGCAACTATACATCATACACAGAGTTCCACTCAACAATGGGATTTGTATCATTTTGTTCAGAATTTAAAGGACTCTAACATACTAATTTTTTTCAAATTAGTTCATGCCATTTCCGAGAAATTTTTATGTTACCGTTATGTATAAGGAAATCACCATTAAAAATCTTAATTTCAAAAAAGTAAAAATAGGCCTGGAGAGTGGAGATAAGGTTGACTACATAACACCGGTTGACATTTTCATAAGGCTACTAACCAAAATTTTGGTTCAAACATCAAGAAAATGAATTAACAACATGTAAACCACTTATATCTTAAACAATTATGCGACAGTTTGCTGGAAAAATATTTTCCCAAACATGAGTTTTAATTTTCATGGCATAAACCTATACTTGCAGAGATTGCATTTACGATACAACATTTCCTGATAACGCAGATCGCAGATCCTTTACGGTATCAAAGAAAAACCACATTTTAAAGTGAAACAGAATGTAGACAAACACCGACCAATATTTTTTTTAAACTTGTAACATAAACATTTCAGTGACAGTTTGAAACCAGCTGTTAGTTAAACCAGCACTGAAACTACTTTAATTGTTAGAGTCGGCTGCTAGACTTTTTGATGATTAAAACTTAATTTCTGAAAAACTGAAACCCTAAAATAAAATTATGGCTTTGATATTCCCTTCCTTTCAACACGATAATTATGAAAATCTGTCAAGAGGTTGATTCAGAATCGTGAAATTTAAAAAACCTTGTAACGTTTTAATAAGATAGATAATGTACAATGTGTACATGTAATGGAATTATGTTAGTGTATACATATCATTCAGACAGATTTATTTATATTACCAGCTGGTACTAGAATGTTGTCCATGAGAATAATAAAAATAAAGTGCAATGTATTAAACCATATTGTACAAAAATAAGTAAATGTTGTACGCTTTTACAATACAAAGACCAAACTATACAAATGCTACCACTGAAGGAGTGAATGAAATAAATGTTGGCACTTTGCCAAACAAAACAGTGTCAAAATAACCTCTTCGAGAACACTAGCAGGTGTTTTCTGATAGAATGAAAACCAATTTGATTTGATTTTCCGCTAACTGCTATATACCCGTGCTTCATAAAGTGAAGAGGACACGGATGAGTATACTGTGGTTCTTTAGATTATTGTGAAATAATTTTACATCCATCAATCATTTTAAAAAGACAACTGGATTTAACTGCTTATATTAATACAATTATTTTTCTTGTAATTCAAGCTTGATTTAATTTGATAATACTCTTAGTTTGAAGTGTATTTACTTTTAAAACCCTTCTTACATTTTACGTCCATAGATATACAAGAATCTAACATAAAATACAAATGTTACTCACTGATTATTAGGAAATAGTCAAACCTATTTACTTGTCTTCATTACTTAAATTTCACAGAAAACAGTAAGCAAATTATCACAAAACTTAAACTATCTTCCATTAATGATACATAACCCTATCATTAAATACCACACCATTTTCCACAATGCAAATAAGCATCAACCCAAATATTTAGGTACAAATGTATGGTTTAAATCAATATGCTAACTCCAATAGTATGAAGTCTATTCATAAGAATAGCGTGGCAACTTTGGAAGCCTTGGGGGTCGAGTCCTAATAGAATAAAAACAAAAATGTGGCAAAATTGATCTGTGACATATTGGCCATTTCCTGCAAAATGTCAGCTCAATTGGTCCAGTA